ATTCTACTCTTTCTTTCTGTGAGTTTGCAAATTAAATAAAATTTTAACAATTTGGGAATATGGGTGGAGTGGATGTGGAAGTTCTTTTTACTCTTCTTGCAAACTTACTCTGTCTGAAGTCATTTCAAAGGTAAAATCTTAAAAAAGAGACAAATCAACCATCAGAGCGCTACTATAATTATGATCACAGTTGGCAGTATTTTTTAGTTATTATGAACCCACTTTTTAATGGCAAAACACCTAAGATATTTTTAATAGATTTTCTTTTCATTTTTGTTTTGAGGAGGATTAGCCCTGAGCTAACTACTGCCAATCCTCCTCTTTTTGCTGAGGAAGACTGGCCCTAAGCTAACATCCATGCTCATCTTCCTCTGCTTTATATGTGGGATGCCTACCACAGCATGGCTTGATGAGTGGTGCCATGTCCACACCCAGGAGCTGAACCGGTGAATCCCGCCCAGGCTGCTGAGAAGCAGAACGTGTGAACATAATTGCTGTGCCACCGGGCCAGCCCCTAGTTTTCTTTTTTTTTATGTGAGGAAGATTGGCCTTAAGCTAACATGTGTTGCCAATCTTCCTCTTTTTGCTTGAGGAAGATTGTCCCTGGCTAACATCTGTGCCAATCCTCCTCTATCTTGGATGTGGGACACTGCCACAACATGGCTTAATGAGTGGTGCATAGGTCCACACCTGGCATCTGGACCCACAGATCCCAGGCCGCCAAAGAGGAGCATGTGACCTTAACCACTACACCACCAGGCCAGCCCTGTCCTTTTCTTTTAACTTTTATCAAAGTGAGATTCACATAACATAAAACTAACCACTTTAAAGTGAATAATTCAGTGGCATTTAGTTCTCTGACAATGTTGTGAACCACCACCTCTATCTAGTTCAAAACGCTTAATCATTACAAAGGAAAGCCTATACCCATGAAGTAGTTACTTCTCATCTCCTGGTCTCTGGCAATCTTTGTCTGTCTCTATGAATTTGCCTATTCTGGCATTTCATATAAATGGAGCCATTCAATATTTGTCCTTTTGTGTCTGGCTGACTTCATTTAGCATAATGTGTTCAAAGTTCATCCATGTGACATGTATCAGAACTTCATTTCTTTTCATGGCTAAATAATATTCCATTGTATAGATATGTGACTATTTATATATTTTTCTGTTGATAGATCTTTGGTCTGTTTCCACCTTTTGGTAATTGTGAATGGTGCTGTTATGAACCTGGGTGTACGTGTATTAGAACGCCTGAAATCTTGATGTTTGTTAATGTCTGTTGTGACAAAGTATAAACTCATGCCTGATGCCCTCCCGGGTTTAGACTTCTCAGATATGCAAGCAGATTCTCTTTTGTGCTTGAGCTGGATTGGGTTGCTTTTCTGTAGACTTGAAAGAATGCTGACTGCTACAAAACTTCAAAATACCTTTCAAAATGCAGAGTTTTGGATCTATGGGGGAAAATCTGCTCATTAAGAATACCTTTTTGAAACAAAGCCAAGTAAAATTTTCTGAAGCTCAAAGCCCTCCTGTCCCCTAGAAATTTGAAATGAATAAGAACCCGAAATATTTCTGAACTAGAAGAATGAGCTCAACTAAGCATAGCACATTCCTGAACTGTGTCTGCCGCCACAACCGGATAATCCTAACACAGTCTTGAACCTGAAGCTTTTTGTGTGTGCCAGATTTAAAGAACTTCATAGCACTTTTTGTGAAAGAATTATAACTTTAAAAACCAGTTCTTTCCTAAATCAATGGGTAATCATTTTTAGCAACTCGTCTGAACAGAAGTCCCCAAACACAAATGTTGCCCTTTATTTCTGCTTTCCCCATGTGCTTCCTGCCACCCATCTTTCATCTCTTGTGGTCATAGGAATTTTAGTATGTTCTTTTCAAAAGGCTTCTAGGAATTGCCTCCAGTTTACTTGATGAAATCTTGCACCACAAACACTTCTTCAAAAGGACATTGTTTCATCTGATTTCTGTTGAAGAAAAACCAAGTAATTGGAGAATTTATCTGCTGACAATTTATCTTTCACTTAAAAACATATTTTATCACCTTTAGTTCCCTTTGATCTTGGAGTCCTTGACTCACCTGGTTTGATCTGAGTTCTGCCCAGCTTCCCCCCAAGTGACTGATGTGAGGGATCAGCAACGGACTTTGGCCCTCCTTCTGCCGCTCGAATCTCTCCACTCTCTCACTCTTCCCTCGGGACTCCTGTGGACTGAGCCAATCAAATCCCTGATTTCCAGAAATGTGACATTGATGCAAGACATTTTGATCTAATCTGGCCTGTTCACTTGAACTGAGGTGAACCTAGGAACTATCAGTCATTTTGAGGAACCATGTTTGGCTATATGGTCAGTGAACACGGTCTGAAGAGTAAAAGGAGACAAGAGAGGACAAAAAGGAGGGGGAGGAGCAGGAAGCGAGTGGACAGGTGAGAGGGAAAGGGAGAGAGGGTGAGAGAGAGAGACAGTTTTCTTGGGTTATGTGACTGAAAAGACAGGAATCTCATCTCAGGTGACACTTTGATCAAGTAGATCAATGACATCACCAAGGACTTGAATTTTGCATCTCTTCTCTGTAATGAGGCCACGATAGCTGCCACAAGCCCTCAGAGCTATATGCTTTCTTTCTTTCATCCAAAAGAGATCCAGAATTCCCACTAAAGTCCCATGAGTCATGCTGACTGGTCCGAGGTAGGTCACGTGCTCATCTCTGCATCAATCACTGTAGCTGGGCCGGGGGGCGGGGCAGGGATCGGTGGCAGGAGGGGTTGAGGAGTGGGATGGATTATGTTGATTGGATGAGTCTAGGTCACATGCCCCACCTCTAGAGTTGGAGCTGGGATGAGCACCCTCAGACCCATACGGATCCTCAAGTGGAAACCTGAGACTATTGGCAAGGGGGCAGGAGGGAAGTGCAAGATCGGAAAGAAACCAATGAATGTTCATCACATTGATTTTCTGGTTTGGCCAGACACCTCCATATTTATATAAGTCCTCCTTTTTTTTCTTTTTTCTTTCTTTCTTTCTTTCTTTTTTTGCTGAAGAAGATTCTCCCTGAGCTAACATCTATTGCCAATCTTCCTCTTTTTTTGCTGAGGAAGATTCACCCCAAGCTAACATCTGTTGCCCATCTTCCTCTTTTTGTATATAAGCCTCCTGCGGTGTCATGGCCACTGACAGACAAGTGGTGTAGGTCCACGCCCAGGAACCAAAGCCAGGCTGCTGAAGCAGAGTACACCAAACTTAACCACTAGGCCACTGGGGCTGGCCTGATATAAGTCCTCTTTTTAATCTACATTGGCTTCTGATACAGCCAAAGAACGTTAACTAGGACATCTGACTAGAACAGTGAAGAGAGAAAAACTGATGGTGGCCTAAGTTTCAGGGGAGAGGTTGAACACAGTGGGGTTGTATCACATGGACACTTAGCTTATACAAGAGGACAATAGCAGCTTAAATTGCTTGGGTGGCTCTGCGCACCATTGCACTTTCCATCAGAATGGCAGGTGTGAGCAGCTCTTCCCTCAGCCCCTCTCGGTTCTGTCTTTCCCCCCATGGTGTGAGCACCTCACCAAACGTAATATGATTCTAGTATACATTTCATAAAAATGGCCCTACCCAGCCACTGCTTTAACTGGTACTCAACAAAAGGAATCCAAATGGATGGAGGAAGAACTGACCCAGCAGCGCTTATCGGGATGTCACTCTCCAATGTGGCGTATTTCTGGGGGACTTTCAAAGGTAACTTTCCTAAAAGGTTTCTAAGGAATGTTTTTCTACAACACTTCCGAGAAAAATTTTGCTGATTTATTAAATAGGACTCCATCGTATCCAGTCAGATAACCATGACTTACATGAAGCTAGTGAAGCTGGTCAGTAGGAGGGATAGCATATCACTGTGTCTATGAACATGACCAGTTTGATGGTTTGGCCCATATTGAACAATTATTAAAATGGTTCTCGGTACTTTGCACATGGTCAGTACTTAATAAACACTGTGAAATGAATATGGTTGATTTAGGCAAAATGGTCTTTCTCGGGGGACACAGCTTGGTGAGATAATCAGGACCCAGCATTCTTGAATGCTGTTTTGGGGCATTTCACAATGGTTTAGTGGACAGAGAGAGGTGTCCTAACTTCTAATACCACTTCTGCTATGAGCTATTTGTGTGATTTGAGGAAAGTTATGTAATTTCTCTGAGTATCAGGTTTCCCCCCTGGTGAAATGGGAAGAAAAAGGCTTACTCTACTTGTCTTTCAGAGTTATTAAAAATCAGCGGCCTGTGCTCTCTTGGGCAACTGCTGGATGTCTTTTAGGGCAGAATGAATGCCATACAGAAGGAAAAATATTCAGATGGAAAAAAATGTCAGTGCCTCCAGAGATGGTCTTTGAACAGTTTATCCTGCCTAATGCACCCTTGGATGTTAAAATAGAACTAAGCACAAAATACAGCCCAACAGTAAGCACAACAGTCCTAATGGAGAGGCTATTTCTGATGCTATATTCCCAACTCCCAGCTTAGGCTCTTTTACCCAAAAAGCTCAGGCAAGGTATAAATTATGAAAAATAGTCTCTGCTCCCCAGAACAAAGCCTGATGCTAAATCAAACAATGAAAGAGACAGCAGAAGCCAACCACCCAGTACTAACTTTTCCAAGCAGAAAACGTGAATATAATGGGACCTGCTTATGGTGAATTTAGCTGTTGTGATGAACAGTGAAGTAGAATGGGGCCTAGGTTGTTCTAGGTAGAGCTCAGTTCTGGGGTTGCTGAACCCCTTTTCCTCGTGAAGTTCTTTTACAATTTAAAAATTAAAAAGTTATGTCTTTCCTACATCACCCTAAATCCTGTCCTTAGGTAGCCACATGCTCTCTCAAGAGTCCGACAAGCCTTGTGATGCTAACAACCTGTCTTCTGTCCATCAAAAGGACTGCTTTCACTATTTCCCATTGCTCTGAGGATGTAACTACAACTCTGTATCTCCAGGAACCCGGCATATCCTCTCTTGATATCTACTGAGCAGAAACGGTTGTGTGCGTCCACCACAGACACATCAAGAATGTTTACAGCTGTACTATTTCTAATAGCTCCAGAGTGGAAATAGGTAGGTATTTAACTCTTCAGCTTTATTCACTATTATTTTAGCATCTGAAAACTGTAGGAAATTAGATTAGATTAGAACCCAAGGAGAGTGAATAAGAGTTGAGTAAAATGGAAAGCTTTATCTGTTTCTAGACTGAATTTTTTTGGTAAAAATGAAGTTATTTCAATAAACCCACATCCCATGTCACAGGTAAAATTACAACAAATTTGTTAAGAACTGACACCATTTGGCTGTCTCAGAAAACAATGAGTAAGAAGGAACAGAAATCTCCCCAAGCTAACGCAAGTAAAGATGGATTTATATAAGGATACCAGGGAAGCCTGAGGATCTCAATTGTAGAAATACGACTTGGCAACCACATTCTCTCTGTCTCTGGAGTTGCATGGTGGCTCGCCTCTGCATCTTTCTGCGTGCTGGTTTCATCTCATTTGTCTTTGATGCCTGACTCTCTTTGATTGCTTATTAGCCAGCATGTTGCCAATCAACCCCAAACAATGGCCTTGGCCTGAGTCTATATGAGCCTCCAGCCTGGCTGCTTGACTTTATTTCTTTCTCCCAAGAGATACTTTGTACACTCAAAAAACATTAATTTACTTGGTAGACACTCAGTAAAACTAAATTCCCATGAATCACTTGGTAGATAATAAACACTAATTTTCTTCTCTCCTTCAGAGAATGAATACCATTTGAGTAGAAAAGAATGTTTGTTTGATGATGGGTTAATGAAGCAATATTTTTTTCCTTGTCCTCTACATATACAAGGTAGAGAAAATACTTCCAGTTGGGTGAGTCACGCTTCCAGAAAGACTTGAGGAATTCTCAGACAAGGTTGGCAAATCTGCAAGATTTAACCAGGCCACCACTGTTTCTTAAATCAGCATGCTCTTGTGTCCGTGCAAATGTTTTTCTTTTCATATCCCAAAGGTTGAAATTTATGATTTTATTATATGGTAAAAGAAAGAATAATAAAAACCATTCAATCCTCAACCTCCGGATGAGGGCTTTGGTTGCCCTTTGTGTTAACTCTGCTGTGAATAAAATTCTAAGTCTTTGACTGGGAGTGGATTGAAGTGGCACATAACCTAAATGCTCAACTCTTTCTGATGACGGCTGAGTTTCCATAGAAGCATAAAATAGGATGAGGTCAGGGACCTTCACCAGGTATTCCAGAGATGACATATATGACAATTTCCACTGGCTCACAGACTAGCTCTACAGAGTAAATAGATGTAAGACTATTCTGTGTTTTTCCACAGCCTCCATCCACCCCCCGACTCACATCCATTCCCTACCCTTCCCTTCCCTGCTCTGTACTGGGAGTCTGACCCTTGCTGACCAGAGCTCCTTAAAACTGCTTCTTAGTGTGTTTTGCCAATGGCAGCCACTGGAAGTCTTGCCCTTAGACCCAGGCTATAGGGGCAAGCCCTGAGTATAGACAGCACCACGTATCGTACACACACACAAGAACAAAAACTTATTAAAGGACACATGGTCACCTGTGTCACTTTGAGGGAGAGCTCTCCCATCAGTGAGGACAATGCTTGGAGTATGGGAGAATTTGATGGTAGCGCCCTTAGACAAGAGAAAAGAAGCATTAGTTAACTTGTTAAATCCTTCCCTCTGCAGGAAGGCAGCAGGTTTTTGAATAAAGGAGTATTGTTTTCTAGTAGTGCTCGGGATCGGTTTTCTTGCTTCTCTTTGGATGTTCCAATTCACACTCCAGAAGTATTCACTATTTAGTATGGTATTTACAACAGTTTCACGTGGTGGCTGAGGAATATCCCATGTTGTGTAGATGCAATCTAGATGTCGCTAATTCTGATTCTGATTCTTTACATTTAACAATTGGATGGCCATCAAATGCTAAAACTGCAAACAGATTTATGTTATAAAAACATTTTTAAAGGTTTTATTAAATTTAAAAAAGTAAATACAAATGAGACCTTTATGTAGTTTTTATGTCAATTTGAAATTAATTAATAATTTATTTTTAAATTTTAATATATTTTGAATATTTTAAAACTGTTGAAGAATAAAATTCAACTGAGTACATTTGAAAGACGTCATAGGCTCTACTCAGCCATTCGTGAATCGGGCAGCATCCGATCTAGCAGATAGAAAGGAGCGCCAAAGAGCTGCACAAGGAAAGAGATCTTTATAGAGCAAAGTGAGCAGGAACAAGGAGGTTACACTGGGCATCTGCTGATTGGTTAAAGCAGGATTACTTTCCTTATATGGAGCGAAGGGAAGTCTTCGAGCCAGATCAGGTCATTCGTGCTGAGCAGGAAAGCAGTTTGGTTGAGCTAGGCCCTCCTTTTCTGGGAGAGCCAAGCGCAGAAACTGAGTTAAGATTTTGTTTGCTGACATGGGGCTGAGCATGAGCGACTCCATCTTGGGCCTAATCTGGTTACTTTAACAGAACAAAAACAGTTTTTGAAGCAAAATATTTTAAAATTATTATTTTTTACATTTACGTTGCAAGTTTCATGAAAATGCATTGGACTACTGAGTACTTTAAGTACAATTATATTTTATTTTTAATCTTTTAAACTTTACTATCAACAAAACATGAATTATGTGAAATCTAGACATAAAATATAGTAATTTTGGTGAAATTAAGACAAAAAATAATTTTATGGAATACATATACATATGGAATAAATTTATAAATTTATTTTGTATTTTTTTTATTATTTATCCAAACCCTGTTGGTCATACATAAGACCAATCATATGTAATAATTAAATTTAGTTGTCTCTAATATTTTGCTGGTTTTCAATTATATAAAAATCACAGGTTTACACATATTTTTCAATTTTATTGTTATAAAGGTGTATTTGTTGTTTTGGGGCAGGGGTTTGCAAACTGTTTTTCTTAAGAGCCAGATAATAAATATTTTAGGCATTGTGGGCCAGATAGTTTCTTTTGCAACTACTTGGCTCTTAGAGCTTGGAGTGTGAAAGCAGCCATAGACAATACATAAATGAGTGGGCGTAGCCATGTTCCAATAAAACTTCACTTACAAAAATAGGCAGTGGGCTGGATCTGGCCTACAGGCTGCAGTTTGCTGACCCCTGAGACAGGGGAAGCAGACTCTGAAATGGAGATTTGCACGCAGAAAGTTTATCGGGGAGCGCTCCCAGGGGACAACTATAGGGGAAGCAGAATTGGCAGAAAGAGAAGTTGAACTGGGATGCAGCCACAACGAACACCTCAGCCGATCCCATGTGGAGCTCACCATCGGGGATGGCCCTTTAGTATTGCCCCAACTTGAGGCAAAGTGTCCTGGCCTTTATACCTTGACATACTCGGGTGGGGAGGGTTGGGGTGTGATCTTGGACAGCAGAGGGCAATGCCTGGAGAAGGACTTAGCTGCAAGCTGTCAGCACCTCGAACTTCCAGCAACTGAGGAACAAGTGCCTCCATCTTGAGGGATGGGATAATTTTATGTGTCAACTCGGCTAGGCCATGGTACCCAGATAGTTGGTCAACCATTGTTTCGGATATTTCTGTGAGGGTGTTTTGGGATGAGGTTAACATTTAAATCACTGGACTTTGAGTAAAGCAGACTGTCCTCCACAGTGTGGGTGGGCCTCATCCAATTAGCTGAAGGCCTGAATAGAACAAAAGACTGACTCCCTGAGCAAGAGGGAATTTTGCCAGCGGAGAGTCTTCAGACTTGAATTTCAACATTGGTTCTTCCCTGGGTCTCCAGCTTGACAGCCATTCCTATAGATTTCGAACTTCCAGCCTCCATAATCACAGGAACCAATTCCTTAAAATAAATCTCCCTGTGTGTATATATATATATATATATATATATATATATATACGCATCCTATTAGTTCTGTTTCTCCTAAGAATCCTGACTAATACATGGGAACTAGGTGATGCACCATAATATTTACTACGATTATCAAAGTAAGAGGATAGAACACGCGCAGTGTGTAATCTTGCTTTATAGCTTTTATGTATCTAGACATCTGTGGGCCTCTATTTGCTCTCTTGCCCACTCTAGTTGTGTGCTGGAGCCAGCTCATACTGGACCTCGATAACTGTACGCATCTCTTTCCCACTCCATGTTCAGTGACATCAGATTGGCAGCTTGAAATTTTCATGGTGGGAGTATTTATAACAGAGAAATCAGCAAACACTACAAATCAAGGCTGTTTATTTATTTTTCTGAATAGCTGGTTGTTAAACATTTACTATATGTGACTGCCTAGGTGCCACAAACGTTAGAAGGAGGCTTATCTCACACCAGCAGTTCCACCAGAAGTCCTTGCTGTGTGGTTCCATCTCTCCCCAGCTCTCGTAACTCCATTTCCTCCCCATAACCCTTTGCAATAGGGAGGTAACAGCTTCCCATTGTTGCTTTGCTCTGAGTGCCTTCCCACGCTTTGATTGTTCCCTGGTGAGTGGGTGCACTACAGCCTCCTCATTTGAACCATCTGGGATGAACTCTGTTTCCTGCTGGGACCTTGATACAAAAGGTGACTGGGAAATCTGCCTCTTACTCTACGCTAACCCTAAAGTTCATTGGCCATCTCCTTCTCTCCATCTCCAATTACCATCTGTAGGATCAACAGCTAATAAGATGTTTCATTTTTCATCTTCCTCCTTTCTACCCTATTCATTTCTCCCTCTTTGCCAAAGATACAGGAGAAAAGGGTTAGAATCTGTGCTGTGGCTTAAGTCCTGGTACAGACTTCCAAGATGCACTCCACGGGGACACCACCACAGCCAGTCATTTTTTCTTTGGCCACCTTGGCTATTTCAAATATGTGTCAGTATTGCCTAGTGAGGTTGTTTTTGGAATCCTCAAATATATAAAAGGAAGACAAAGCCAACTGTCACAATTAATTAGAAACAATATGTTTAATTTTAGAAGGCAAGAGTAATAGAAATCATGTGGGACTGTTCATCTCTGTTTGTCTCGTCTCTTGCAATTATTTTAAAAATAAAAACCTCTTTTGGTTTTAACCTGTAATCTTATATCCCTGCATGTCTGACTTATACTTTCAGTAATGACTCCCAATGGCGGGCCCAGGCTTAGGACAAGAGCATGGAGCTCTTGTAGGCTCTCATACCCTGTGCGCATCATGCGAGCGCTCTCATTGCCACCCAATAGCTCTGGAGTTTGGGAAGTTTTTCAGGTCGCCTCTGCTTTCCTAAGCACCTCCGGTCACACTACTTCCCTGAGTTGCATTAGTGACCATAGACACAACATAGCTTTGGTGAGGTGTAATCAAGAGCAATAAGGAGGAACATCTCTGTCTTCTTTTTCATTTGGTCTTGCTAACAGTTCATGCTTTTTTGCTTCTCAGAAAAAAGAAGAAAGAAAGAAAGAAAGAAGGAAGGAAGGAAGGAAGGAAGGAAGGAAAGAAAAAGAAAGAAAGAAAGAAAGAGAGAAAGAGAGAAAGAAAGAAAAAGAAAGAAAGAAAGAAAAAGAAAGAAAGACGAAGGAAGGAAGGCAGGAAAGAGGGAAAGAGGAGAAAAGGAAAAGAAAAGAAAGCAGTGGCTATTGGATTGGTCTGTTCAGCTGCTCTGCCTTCTTCTTCTTTTGAGAATAGACCCCAGATCCTCCCACCCTGCCCTCCACCCCAACCAGTGAGGGGTAAGATCCAAGGGAGTGGAGTAGACGAAATCGTCCGACACAAGCTGGACCAATCACATTTTGTTTCCAAGGATATTGCCACTGGAATACAGTTGCTGAGATGTAAGACAGTTATTTCTGAGACAACTAGAAGTGGCATCCTTGGGAGAAGGTCCCCATGCTACTGTTCACTGAGATTCCTAGAGACACCTGGGGCCTGTCATTCAGCAAG